TTATTATTATTATTTATTTATTATTATTATTATTATTATTATTATTATTATTATTATTATATTATTATTATTATTATTTATTATTATTATTTTATTATTATTATTATTATTATTATTATTATTATTATTATTATTATTATTATTATTATTATTATTATTATTATTATTATTATTATTATTATTATTATTATTAATTATTATTATTATTATTATTATTATTATTATTGTTATTATTATTATTATTATTATTACTATTATTATTAATTATTATTAATTCTGTATTTTGTCATGTCGCAGTGGAATATTCAAGCAAATTAATAGGTTAGAATAGAACTGAAATAGATGAAAAACTCGCAGTTGATATTCAACTGTGCAACGAAATTCGAAATAATTTTAAAATAAAGTACTCAAATTTTAGAATGAAATAAATAAGTTCATAAAATGAGAGTCTTTTCTTTATTTTTCTTCATTTTTTTCAATTTTTCATCTATCAATGAATGTTGCACAATGTAAAAAAAGGGATCGAATTGTTTACTTATCATTTTAATATATCATTTCTAATCATAACCTTTACTGATTTTTACTGAATTTTTGCAGCAATAAACAAAAGTCTAACTTTATAAAACATAACTGTTCTTTTTAAGGAAAACCTCCAAAGTTATTGAGTTATGTTTAATTAATTATGCTTGCTTTATGATGTGATATATGCATTGACTAATTGTAGGTATATATATTATTGAAGAAATTTATAAAATTTTGCGGTTTACTTCTTTTTCAAGAGAATATTTTTGAAAAAAATTTTAATCAAATTTGTTTGCGTAGCATTGAATGAAGCATTTAATGATAATAATGCAAAAACAATAGAAAGGAACCAAAAAAGAAGAAAAAAGTTAAACAGAACTATGAAAATATATTAGTACAAATGCTTAAGCAAAATATTTTTGAAATAAAATGGGAAGGTGAGCTATTTGATGTATGGTTATGCATTGGAAATGTCATTGTGTCATTTGTAATCGTCACTTTAATAATTTATTTTCTATTTTAAAAATTTCTTTCATCCTTTTTTACATTTTTCCACCAATTTCTTAGCTATTCTATGAATAATTGTAATTTATAAATTTCATCAATTCAATATTTTTCTCTTTTTTAAAATTTTTACCACTTCTCGGAAATTATTACAAGTTTTTTATTCCTTAATAAAACTTATTGAAATCAAAACATTCATCTCTAACCATTGATTAATCTAGGAAGATGAAATGACCAGAATAGTTTGACCATTGACATTGCTAATGTTATTTCAAGCAACCATATTTGGCTTCTTCTTATTTCAATTTGTTTTTGGCCAAATTTTATAAATGATACGAAAAAAATCAAGCCTTCTTGGAACTTTAGGATGGAATATATTTTAACCGAAAGGTACCATTACCGCAACATGGTACCATCACTATTTATGATGTCTGTCAAATCTGTAACGATACTGGATGATATCAAGATAGACTGATAACAAATTATCCGTTTAGCCATCATCATCTTTGTCTTTTTTTTTGCAATACATATAGGGCTGAAAGAATTTCTAGTCCAAAAAATAATCAGGATAAAAGAAGCGAATTTAAAAGTTAGCGTAATTGAAAATCAGTTGAACTCAAAATAAGAATTATTTATTCTCTTCGTTATGAAACCATTTCCACAATAGACTATTTTCTAGCTTTTAATGTAATTGCTGGAAATGATTATCGAAATTATTAACATGAAAAAAAAAACATTCCTTGAAAGTGATCAATATTTATCAAGATAACAAATTTCTTTCCCTGTGGTTCATCTTGTTATTTTGGATTAATTTCTACATTCTTTTCGAATTTGAATTTTTTTAAGTTTTGAAATTCACAAATTTTTAAAGAATGTTTGGAACAAAATTAAGAACAAAAAGAAATCAGTAGAAATTTGCTAAAGAAGCTAAGAAAATAAGTTCAGTTATTGTTTCATTGCAAAATTTACGGATAAACGATTCAATTCTGTGCAAATAGCTTCATTAATTTTGTTATCAAACTTAAAACTTAAGCTCATAGTACTTGAAATGGACAATTAAATGTTTTAGATATTGATTATTAAAGACAATATATGTATTTCATAACGATTGCGATAACATATAACATTTAAGAGATTCAGAAGATTATTTTAAAATAAAAAGTACTATTTAAGTTTGTTAAAATTAAGTTCTGCGATCAATAAGAGTGAAAATATGGGAATAAAAAATATGATAATCGTTTCATATATGACAGTTTGCTTCTTTTCATATTTTTCATTTCGATTTTTCAGATTTATTTATTTTTTGTTTGTGAAATTTTTAATTAAATCAAAGAAATGAAATAAAATCATTAAGGAAAAGGAAATTGAAAAGGATGAAGAATAAAATCGGGAAATTCAATTGATTTATTTCATTGTTTATTTCATAATTTTAATCAGCAAACTGAAAATTTTTGCGAAAAAATTATTTGCAAATGTACAGAACCTATGTGAAAATCATCTTGCATTAATTTACTTCCTGGTTTTGTTCGTTATGACGAATGATTATGCCTATGTTTGTTTAGAAGAATTAATATTTCATTTATTTGAAATCAAAGTATGACAAAATGGTTGACGTGGTTTGATTACGTTGAAGTAATAGTATTTGATAAGCTTTCACGTATGGTACACGTGAAAGTATGTTAATCAAGTGGCAGATGATATTAAATCTGATAATTAAGTCTTTGAAATATTTTTGATGTTTAATGCATTATTCATACAAATAACGTAAGTAATTCATTTTTTTTAAACACTATTACGTCCGTGGTAATAAAATTTTTATAATGATTGGAAATTTTATGCTAAGAATTCTGCAAAAACTTTGGCGACACTTTTTTTGAAGCATAGTTTGTTATGTTGGAACAACTGATTCTTTTTCCATTTGCTTCACAATTTATATCCAATGAGTGAAGTTGTGAATTACCGCCAAATGACTAAGTTGTAAATATCGACAATTAGCGCCAAATGAAAATGAACAATTCAATTCGATCTATTACTTCAGGTAAATATTGACTATTCATTCCTTGAGGATCAATAACTTTTTCTGATTTGATTGGTTCTTAAAATTATCAAAATTATGTAATTTTATAAATTTGAAATTTTCATGTAAAAAATTTGGATGTTTCATTGATTAGATGGTGCATAATTCACTTAAAAACAGACAATTAATTTTTTGATCATCAAATATTGTCAAATTCTCTTCTCAGGACAAATTGGATAACTCCGACGAATTATTATAATCTTTCGATTGTTGACATTTGAAGTATTGTAAATCGTAAATTTATACTAAATAGAAATATACTGCTAAAACAACAACATGAAATTAAAAATGAGTAGTAGAAATCAGTTCTATGCTTTATAGTTCTATATTTGGATTAAATTTAACTGTTCATTTTAGCTAATTCGCTTATTTATTTGTATTCGATTATTAATTATTAATCAGTTACTCGATTCCGCACTTAATGGAGAAAAATCGATTATATTAAATTAAGATTGTTCATGTTTTGATTGTTTCCCGTTTAAGAGTAGTTTTAAATAAAATTTCTTTTTCTTTCCAGTGAATCATTTCAAGGTTTATATCAGAAAAACTCGTTAGCAAGAGACAAGCTTAAGTTTTTT